GAAAGCATTGGATACATATCGAGTGATCACCACATGGAAGCCGTGATCGATACGTATCCAATCGGTTCATTCTAATCTATGAAACCTGCGATCCTCCATCTATACTGTAGTTCGCTGCGGACGGTTGGGCGTGTCAGTGCGGCTGCGTTTGGCGCGGTGCCAAACTCGTTCTCCACCAGTTGTTGAAGCGGGCAAGTGACAATACTGTATCATATCTTCGTATTACTCGTTTTCTACCACTTTTTGTCGCATGCGCGTTTCAACAAGAAGGCAGAGAACGGCCTTGACGCTGTGCACACTCATATTGGCTGACCCGCCCAACCTTCCGCAGCGAACTAGGGTGTAGATGGAGGATCGCAGGTTTCATAGATTAGAATGAACCGATTGGATACGTATCGATCACGGCTTCCATGTGGTGATCACTCGATATGTATCCAATGCTTTCCGCATACTATCCGATTCCACAGTGGACAAGATGAGGAAGCGGCCTAATACTTACCACTTTCTTCCGAGAATGTTATGCGTACTTGCTCTTCTATTTCATGGGCTCTTAGTCGCTTCTTTCGCTGAAGCTATTGCGCCGCCATTCACATTCCTGAACGGTTATTCATTGAATTTAAGATGAATTTTCCATTTCAGAACAATGACGACGGCCCATAGACCAACATTTCACCCTGCCCGAGGAGGCACTGGGCGAACCGAGGGAGACTTATCGAAACTGTCGCAGCAATATTCGTCTAAAGATATGCCATCACACACCAAATTGAAGTACAGACAACAGGGTCAGGGTACTGAAGAGGAGTTGAGGAGACGGGTGAGAGCACTCACTAGCTACTCGTAACACAACGGGTACGCGCTAAATGCTGTTATTTCAGGATCTGCGACGTGAATTGGAGGACAAGGAGAAGGTAGCCTCTCGGGAAAGGCGCAATCGTGAAGCAGCCGCTTCTAGTTCGAGTAACAAGAGGGCGAGGATCGAAGAGTCTTCACATGCAGCTGTAGATGCGGATGAGCCGCTAGATGAAGTGGGTGTTTTTTTGACTTTCCTGAACTTTCGTTGTTAATTTCGTCCCTTTGAATT